CACTTATTTTGAATTATTTGTAAAAAATCTTGTATTTTTAATTATTTTTTATCCAGATTTATTTTCCCATTTTTTTTTTAAAAAAATTTTATAATTCATTTTTTTTTCTTTTACCTTTTTTTAATATATTTTTCCTTCAGTTATTTATCCTTTTATATTTTACTTCATTTTTTTTCAATTTTTAAATTTTTTTTTATAAAAATGCTATTTTTTTAATCTATTTTTTTTTTATTTAAATTTATCTTAAAATATACTTTTTATTTTTTTTTGGTTGATTGAACTATTTTGAGTTATTTTTAAAAAATATTTTTTTTAATTTATAAAAATATTTTAAAAGATCAACTCTTAAAATAAATATATTTTAAAATTAACTGAACCAACAAAATAAAAAAAAAACGCAGAAAAAAATAACTATAAAATAAAATATTAAAAATAAATTATAAAATAAATGTGGAAAAGTTAAAAAAAATTAAATACTTCTTTTTTTGTTCCTTTTTTTTTATTTTTTCCTTCAATTAATTAAAATACATCTGGAAAAGGATAAAAAAAAAAAAAAAAAAAGAGGTTGTTATGGCACCTCCAATAAATATATAAATTTTATTTTAAAAAATATTATTTTGTTGTAGAAAAATTATTAATATATTTTTAAACATCAAATTTTAAAAGAAAGATATTTTAAATTATATTTTTTGTCTATTAAAAAATATTTTTTTATTATAAAATTGAGTCATTTTTTTACTATAGCGACACTACTTAAGTGTCTACAGCCGGTAGCGACTTATATGTAGCTAAATTTATGAATTTAAAAAATAATAATAATAACACGTGGCACTGGTGTCATTATGGACCATAGCGACACTATAGAAAAGTATCCCAAAGGCGTAAATAGTTTCAAAACAGCCTCATTTACGTAATTAGTTTTAAAAACTATCTTACAATGGTCAATCAGCAAAAAAAGAGATAGCATAGTCGATATGCTTAGGTTTGGCGGTGGAAATGTTATATATATATTTTTTTTTTGGTAGAGTTTTTTTTTAACAGGAAAATATTATATTAATAGTTGAGTAAAGCGATAATTTTTTAAATTGGAAAAAATTAAAAGCAAATACTTTAAAATCTTTCTTTAGTTTTTTTTTTAATATACTATATACACCGAGGAAAAATTCAAGTTAGATTGAGATTTTAATTATGATATTTTTGTATTTTAATTCTTTTTAATCTTTATAATTTTAAGATAATTTTTTTTAGTCTTTATACTTATAATTTTTTAATTTTTAATTTTTTGTCATTAATTTTTTTTTGTAATAGTCTCTTTTGTGTTAACGTAATAGATGTATTAATTCAACTTTGTATATTTAATGTCAAATTTATTTTGTTAGAGTTAATTTAAATTAAGTATGTCGATGTTTCATGCCTCTTTTGTACTATCACAAAATTGTCTCCATGATGTCAACACAAAATAAATAATGTTACAAAAAAAATTATCCATAGGACTAAAAGAATTTAAAAAATTACATATATAAGGAATAAAAAGATATATCTTAAACTATATGAACTAAAAATAATTGAAAAAATAAGTATAATAATTGAAAATATTTATTTTAACACAAAATAAATAATGTTACAAAAAAAATTATCCATAGGACTAAAAGAATTTAAAAAATTACATATATAAGGAATAAAAAGATATATCTTAAACTATATGAACTAAAAAGAATTGAAAAAATAAGTATAATAATTGAAAATATTTATTTTAAACTATAAAGAGTAGAAGGTAAAGTAAGATTATAGTACTAAAAAAAGTACTTTAACCAACTTTCAATTTGATGGTTAAACATTGACCGTGCAAAAATTCAATCCAATATGGTGGTTCAACCTTGTCCAAATTTAACCCATAGATTAGACTTTTTTTAAAATACACATTAATACAACTCTCTCAAAAAATTTTCTTAATA